GTGCCCAGAGTCGAGGTGACTGGTACAAGACGAAGGAGATTCTGCTGAAGGGGCCTGACTGGATCCTGGGTGAGGTCAAGACATCGGGCTTGCGGGGCCGTGGAGGTGCTGGCTTCCCCACTGGCCTTAAGTGGAGCTTCATGAATAAGCCCTCAGATGGCAGGTGTGTGTAGGCAGGCAGAAATGGGGTTACACCTCGGGGCGGCTGGGACTTATCTGGGCCTTGGGGCTGTTTCCTTGGAAACCAAGAGTGAATGAAGTGGGAAAACCTTACCAGAGCTCCAGTAGCAGGTACTCGGTTCTCTGATCTTCCTCAGGGGGGTCTTGAGGGGCAGCAGAGTCTACACAAGATTTTGACTCCAGCAGACTTAATTGATCAATTCCTGGTTCTGCCATTTAATCATATAGCTTTGGGCAATCTCCAGACCTTTCTGAACCTCAGTATTCTGTAAATGTCTATTGTGTTGTGCAGGGATTAAAGAGATACTGTGCCTACAGCTTTTGGCCTGCACTTTGGTCTGCATGTAGAAAGTAAATGATAAATGTCAGTCTGTCTCCTTTTGGCTCCAGAGATACAGTGGAGGTTCACAGAATGCTCATTGTGACCAAAAGCATTTGGGCTCTTGAGAAAGCACTGGGAGAGGCATTTGGGCTGAGTAGAACCAAGACCTTGCCTGTGGTCATAGCTGCCCCAGTGTGGACTAGGCAGTGAGCTCCCCTGTCGTCGGTGGTGAGCAAGCAGAGCCCTGGGAACTTGCTGGGAGGACAGAGAAGGATTGGCTGTCAGATAAGACCTGTTTGAGGTTTCCTGGTGGAGTGGGGTGGCATACGGTTGAAGGCCTGACCCTGGCGGCCCTGTAGCCCGACTGACCTGCTGACCCCGCAGGCCCAAGTATCTGGTGGTGAACGCAGATGAGGGGGAGCCAGGCACCTGCAAGGACCGAGAGATCATCCGCCATGACCCCCACAAGCTGGTGGAAGGCTGCCTAGTGGGGGGCCGGGCCATGGGCGCTCGTGCCGCCTACATCTACATCCGCGGGGAGTTCTACAATGAGGCCTCCAATCTGCAGGTGGGCAGGGGGAGGGGAGGTGCTGAGTGGGCACTCACATGCCCCAGGCCAGGCAGAGTTTGTAGTAGGTTCTCGAGCGGGATCTGCCTGGAGTCGCGCTGGGAGGGTGGGGATCTCTCGAGCTGGCCTGTGTCCTGAGTGGGACGTGCACCCCAAAGCCTCCATCTCGCTCTGCGTCCCAGAGCCTCAGCCTGGGAGGTCTTCCAGGGCTTCAGGGCTCCTGGGGCGGGGGTAGGCTGGAGAGCACACACATGCGCATTTTTCCTGAAGGGTCAAGGGGTCATGTCAGTAATTCTCAGCCCAGTGACGCCTGTAGTAATTGGTCTAGGGCCAAAGCCTCCCCTTTCTATTAGGTTCATAACCTGGCACATGGTAGCATTCTGTGTGTTATTACATGTGTAAAAAGCAGCCTCCAGGCTCTTTTCCTCTACTCAGAAGCTGTACTCACTCATTGTTAAGACAGGAATCCACACCCATGTGAGAGAAAAATCTCCCATAGACTGACTACCTAGAGGAACCACTTGCTGAAATTTTCATTATTTCCCTAAAGTCTGTATAAAAAGTACATACAGTTGGAGAGTTTGTTGAATGTTATTACATGGGTAGTGCACACACTGTGAAACTCCCCACCCTTCTCCCAACACGCCCTCTGCTGACATCCAGAGGGAGCTCCGGCCCTGGACTGTGGCGGTGGGCTCACTGGGCCTGCACCCCGCCCTCCCACACGCAGGGTCCCTGGGCTCGTGGGGACCATGTCCGTGCACCCCTGTCCCACAGGTAGCCATCCGGGAGGCCTACGAGGCTGGTCTGATTGGCAAGAACGCCTGTGGCTCCGGCTACGATTTCGATGTGTTTGTGGTGCGCGGGGCCGGGGCCTACATCTGCGGGGAGGAGACCGCGCTCATCGAGTCCATCGAGGGCAAACAGGGCAAGCCCCGCCTGAAGCCTCCCTTCCCTGCAGACGTGGGTATGACCTGGCGCCTGGCCTCATCCCGGGCCTGTCCTTTGGAATCCGGGATCTGGCTTCAGGTTGCCACTGTCATTCTTGGGGAATTTCTGAGTCCCTTCGCTGGGGGCCTGACAACGCGAGTAGGTGGGAACAGCATAGAGGCTGCACCAGTGTCCCCTGGAGCCTCTCATCCTGCCCCAGTGCACAGGCCACACACCCGGGTGCTCTCCAGCCCCCCCGGGACTTGGGGCAGGGTGGTGGGAACGCAGTACAGCTAGAATCTGGGGCTCCCAGGGGTCGAGAGTAACACAGAGGTGGAAGCAGACCCTGGACAGATGCCACCTCCAGGAGACCCGCCCCAACTGTCCCCAGCCTCCAGCAGCCACTGGTTTGTTTCCTTTTTAAAAACAAACATATATATTTATTTTGTGGCTGTGCTGGCTCTTCGTTGCTGAGCAGGCTTTGCTTTCCTTGTGGCAAATGGGGCCACTCTCTAGTTCTGGTGCGCGGGCTTCTCATCGCGATGGCCTCTCTCGCTGCCGAGCACAAGCTCTAGGGCGCGTGGGCTTCGGTGGTGCAGCTCCCGGGCCCTTGGGTACAGGCTCAGTAGCTGTGGCACACAGGCTTAGTTGCCCCTCGGTACATGGGATTGAGCCCATGTCTCCTGCGTTGGCAGGTGGATTCTTTGCTACCGAGCCACCAGGGACGGGCCATCCTCCAGGTTTTCATCCTCCTCCCCCACAGGAGTGTTTGGCTGCCCTACAACCGTGGCCAATGTGGAGACAGTGGCCGTGTCCCCTACCATCTGCCGCCGTGGGGGTGCGTGGTTTGCCAGCTTCGGCCGAGAGCGCAACTCAGGCACCAAACTGTTCAACATCTCCGGCCACGTCAACAACCCCTGCACCGTGGAGGAGGAGATGTCTGTACCGCTGAAGGAACTGATTGAGAAGCACGCGGGTGAGGCCTGGGGCCAGCCAGCGGGGCGGGCGGGCCTCTGGGGCCTGGGCCGGGGCGGGGGCTGACAGGCGTGCCGGCCCCCGCCCTGACCATCCGTCCTCTCGGGGGCCGACTGGGGCCCCAGGGGGCGTCACGGGTGGCTGGGACAACCTCCTCGCTGTGATCCCTGGCGGCTCGTCCACTCCGCTGATCCCCAAGTCGGTGTGTGAGACGGTGCTGATGGACTTCGACGCGCTGGTACAGGCGCAGACGGGCCTGGGCACGGCTGCCGTGATCGTCATGGACCGCTCGGTAAGCAAGGGCCTCCCGCGCTCCCCACCCAGTCCCTGCCTTAGGCCAGGCTGGTTAGTAACCCGGCCTGGGCTCCTCAGAGACACCTGCTAGTTCTTGGGTCCTGATTCCTGCCACCCGAGACACAGGGAGGTGGGCGAGGCCGGGGGGCAAGGCTTCTCTGGGCGGCGCACCCGTGGAGCCTGGCAGCGCAGGATGCCTGGGGTGGGTGGGAGAGGCCAGGGCGCTGCTGGAATCGGGCGGGCGTGCTGCCAGGGGCTGAGGCTCGGGCACCTCCTTGTTGCCCCTCGTCTCTGCAGACGGACATTGTGAAAGCCATCGCCCGCCTCATCGAGTTCTACAAGCACGAGAGCTGTGGCCAGTGTACCCCATGCCGCGAGGGTAGGCGTGCTGGGCAGGGGGTTTCTCTGTGGCTCATGCCGGGTCTGGGTGGGGCATGGGGCACAGGTGGCATGGGCTCTGGACCCTGAATACACCACTGCGGCCACCCAGCCTGCTGTGGCCTCTCTTAGCCCTCCGCCCCCTGACCTGCACCCCTCGAGTTCCATCCCCCACACCCCGGCCTGAGGGGGTCAGCAGGCCGTCTCTTGCTGCCCCGGCGCAGGTGTGGACTGGATGAACAAGGTGATGGCCCGCTTTGTGAGGGGGGACGCCCGGCCGGCGGAGATCGACTCCCTGTGGGAGATCAGCAAGCAGATCGAGGGCCACACCATCTGTGCCCTGGGTGACGGGGCCGCCTGGCCCGTGCAGGTACTGCTGCCCTGTGAGGGGCGTGGGGGGTGAGTGCCCAGGCACAGGGGGCGGGGCTTTCAGACCCTGCTTCACACCACGCTCCCTGCACCCCCTCCCGCCCCAGGGCCTGATCCGACACTTCCGGCCAGAGCTCGAGGAGAGGATGCAGCAGTTTGCCCAGCAGCACCAGGCCAGGCAGGCCGCTTCCTGAGCCCACGGGGCTGGTGTCCGTCTGTCTGGACGGCTGGGCAATAAAGCTAGTGACACCCACTCTCTCGTTGCATCTTCTCTGTGGCTTTGCCTGCCTCCACGCTGCTGCTGCAGCCCATGGTTCACAGAGGTTTGTTTCTCAGACGGCGGGGGGACTTCGGAGGGGTAGGTCAGGACAAGGTCATGTTGAGAATCGACACCTTGACGTCCTGTGTGTCAGCCTGTCACAGACCGCGTGCGTGCTCAGTCATGTTCGACTCTTTGGGACCCTTTGGCTGAAGCCCGCCAGACTCTCCTGTCCAAGGGATTTCCCAGGCAAGAATACTGGAGTGGGTTGCCATTTCCTTCTCCAGGGGATCTTCCCGACCCAGGGATTGAATCCTTGTCTCCTGCATTGCAGGCGGATTCTTTACTACTGAGCCACTAAGGGAAGCCCCTGTAATAGACCACCCTGAGCGTTTATCCCTTGGTGCAGGAGTCAAGAGTGGGGAGGGGAAAACTGGCCTGGCCCTGTGCAGGCCTCTGGAGGGTGGGAGCGAGGAGAGCAGGGCCCATTCTGCCCTGTGAGGTGATGGCAGGGAAAAAATGGACTGTCCGGTCTGGTTGGGGAGAGAGGTTTATTCTTTCTTCATGATTTGACAGTGGGGTGAATTCGAAAGCAGGGAAGGAAGGAAGCAATTGACCAGGGGCTGGACAGCGGGGGTGAAGCAGCCCAGGGCCTTCCAGCTCTGCAGAGAGGCTGTGGGGCAGCCCAGGGAAGGGGCAGTGAGCAGGCCAGGCCGGGGGCCCTGCTAGTCGCTGAGCTGGAGGGGCGTGCCGTCCAGCGGGTGCCAAAGCTCCAGCCTGCGGTCACTGCGGCCCAGGCATTCGCGCCAGTGTTGCTGGCGCTCCCCACCGGCCCGGCTGCTCAGCTGCACCCCACCTGGGTTGGGGGACAGGTCAGGCACCATGTGGGAGTCCCCCCGCGGGAGTCCCGACTCGGTTCCCCCGCATTCCCACTCACCGATGAAGTCGTCAGCCGTGCCCAGGTCATAATCCCATACAGACACCAGCAGCGTCTTCTGGGCCAGCTCCTCCCGCGGGCCTGCGTAGAAGAACTCCTGCAGGGGACGCGGTGAAAACGAGGCGGCCTTAGTCCACAGCGTCAGGAACAGACTCAGGCGCGTGGCCCAGGGCGGCTGGGGCCTGCACTGTGAGACGGGATGCCGACCCCCTCCCCCAGCAGCCGGGACTGCCTTCTCTCGGCAGGCCTACCTCGTTGAACTCGGGGTTCAGGGTCTTCTTCCGAACACTGGTCTTGTATTTCGATTTCTTCCCTGCTTTGGGATGCAGGAAACTGGGAGGGATGAGGTTGGTTTCATTGTGGCCCCAGAGAGGCAAGCCGCGGAGGCGCTCTGAGGAACCCCCACTGCCCACCCGGCCGCCCGCTTCACACTCACAGGCGGACGAAGGGGTCCGAGTAGCCGTTGGCATCCATGGGGGCGAGGTGGGCGCAGCGCAGCACGCCCACCAGCAGGCCGCCCCGCTGAGAGCTGTAGCACAGTGACAGCAGGACACGCCCGCGCTCCTCCCAGGCCGCCTCCGCCTCCGCCTCCTGCTGCGGGGGTCAGCGGTCAGCCCCGCGTGGCCCAGTGCCCACAGGGCAGGTGGTCAGCCCCGCGTGGCCCACCATCCGGCAGGGGTAGGCTGGCTCAGCCCCGCGTGGCCCACCATCCGGCAGGGGTAGGCTGGCTCAGCCCCACGTGGCCCAGCGCCCAGCCGCCCACCAGTAATGGCCTGGACAGGAGAACTCAAACTGGCCGCAAAGAAATCAGGGGCCGATGTTCGACACTGTGGTTCAGTTTCCCGATACTGTCACTGACTTAGTGCCCTGGAATGAGACTTCCAGGTCAGCTCTACCCTCCAGGGCCTGAGAAGGGGAGGGGGCTTGTCCGGGTCACCTGACCGACCATTTGCCGCGTGTTTGTCATGGAGGGGGAGGGAACTGGAGTCTCTGAGGATCACAAATTCGTAGGAGCTTCTTAGGTGGCCTTCCACTGGGGGCCGTCTCTTCCCTCTCGGGGAAGCCTGGAAGCAGCTCCCAGAGGCTCACCGCTCCTCAAAGCACACACAGGCCTCGTCAGCTGCAAGACCCTCTCCCCTCACACCCCACAGCCCGGGGCCAGATCCTGAATGCCCTTTGCCCCCTCAGCCCCTGGTGCTTCCAGAAGGACTCAGGATATCCCGGAAAGAAAGTGCTTCTCCCACACCTCACGTGGGGTTTGAGTTGCAGAAAGCCCAACCGCCTTGCTTGCGTTCAGTTCTCAGTAAGGGGGTGCTCCGTGAGTGCTGGCCAGGTGCCGGGGGGCTGCTGTGGGGGGTCTGGGGACGGGGAGGGCTTGTGGTAGGACTGCTCCCCGGGGCGGGGGGGGGGGGGGGAGGGGGGCGCTCCTCAGCCTGGATTTGACTGACGGACTCAGGCTCCACCAGGGGGCAGAGCAGCAGGGCCTGGCCCTTAGGTTCCGGGGGAGCTGGGTAGGCGGAGGGCCCTGCCCCAGCTCTGCGGGTCCCTGGGGCCCTGGGCTTCAGGCGCCCTGGCCAGGTCTCTGGTTTCATCCTGAAAATCCCTCGTGGTCACCTTCACCTCTCCTGACAAGGGCCGGTCCAGAGCGCCCAGCCCAGGAGCGGTACCCACGCTGCCCCCGGGGCAGGCCTAGTGGCCATGGGCCCACCACTGCCATTCTCCCCTGAACTCTGACCTGTCCCGCCCGCGTGCGTCACTGACCAACCGCCCAGCTCCAGCCTCTGTCTCAAGCTGGCCTGTGTCTCTGCCCCCCAAGGCCTTGTGCCCCACAGCTCCTGGGGCCTGGCTGTCCCCCTGAGACTACGAGTGTTCACGGGCCCAGAGAGAGAGAGGGCCTCGGTTTCTCTGCGCTCCCCTGGGCCCGGAGCCCTGCCCAGTACCGCCCCGCCCCGGGTTCCACGTCCCACCGACCTCATACAGAGACATGCCGCGTGCTGTGTCCAGGCTCTTGGGCCTCTTGGTCTGAAAGAGCAGAGAGCCCGGTCACCTGGGCCAGACGCCGCCTGGGTCCCTGTTCCCCCCGCCAGCCCCACTCACCAGCCTCCGCCTCTCCAGACACACGTCGAAGCTCCTGGCCCGGTTGGGCACCAGCTTCCTCAGAGGCACCCGCAGCTCTCCCAGGGGAGGCGCCCGCCTCCGTCGCCGCAGCCATGGGTCTTCACACACGGACAGCCCGGGGGCCACCTGGGTCAGCCTGGCCAGGCCGGCCCCCCGCCCCAGCCCCTGCCGCCTACCCCCGTGTGGCCCAGACCCCATCCTCACCGCAAGGTCTTGCGCCGGGCGTCCTGGAGGGTGAACCCATGATAGGTGAGCGTCTCCTCCCAGACAGGCCCCCGTGTGCCCCGAACCGTGCGCGTCCGCAGCTGGCTGGCCTGAAGGCCAAGCAGGGAGGGTCAGAGCCCTCCTCGGCCCCGGCGCCCCACCTGGGCGCCAGCAATGGGGGGCCCCCTGCCTGAAGGGGAGGCCTTGGGGAGGAGGGGCGTGGCAGACCAGGGGGGCGCTCCAGGCCGGGCCCCTGGCCGAGGGGCAGCGGTGGGGGCCTGCGTCTTGCACTCACCTTGCTGGCCCCGGGCAGCAGGTTGGCTTTGACGAAGGTGTCCACGGAGCCCGAGGCCGGCGGCTTGAGGCCCTGGGACGGGAGAGTGGCTATGGGAGAGGCCCGGGGCTCAGGCCCGAGCCCCGGGGACGCCACCCGTCCCCTCCTCACCTTGGCACGGTGGGCCGTGCAGTGCAGGGAGCTGTTGCCCGCGTCAAACAGGAGTGTGAACTCGAGGGTGCCGAGGGCGGCTAGGGGCAGGTGGCAGGCAGGTCAGCATCTGCGTCAGCCCCCACCGGGCACCATGCCTCCTGGCCCTCCCTGGTCGGAGGCCTGGCCTGCCCCAGACCCTTCCTGGATGGGCAGAGCCCAGAGTGTCCCCCCGTCCCCCCGTGCCCACTCACTGCTGTCGTCTGAGTCTCCCTCTGGCTCTGGGTCCGGCTGGGGCTGGGGTGCAGAGCGGACGGGGGTCACTGGGGGGCGTGGGTCTGGGGGGCGCAGGGCAGGCTCAGCGGTGGGGTAGAAGTGTGGGAAGTAGTGGGAGATGAGGCAGATGGGGCGGATGGGGCCCGGGCTCACGTCGATAGCCATGTGCTCCTGCATGCTCACCCGCCCACGGCCCGCCATGGGGACGCCGACGTGGGCGGGGACTCAGAGGAGCCCCCGAGGACCGCAGATGGGGGCACGGCACTGAGCCAGCCAGTCAGGGCAAACGGGCATCACTGAGGGCGTCGTGGGGGCTCCTGGGTGGCAGCCGGGACCTGAGGACAGAGCACAAGGTCAAGGCTGGCGGGGTGGGGGCCTCCAGGCCGGGGCGTGGGCACCTCGTGTGCCGGCAGCTAGGCCGGCGGGGCCACTTACCGCTCGGAGAGACCCTGCACCTGCCTTGGGTGGCTGCTGGGGTGCCTGACTGAGGTGACCCGTGAGAGCCAGCGGGTGGCCGTGGGGGAGACGGAAGGGGCGGGACTCAGGGCCCCCCCAGAGCCCAGGAGCCCGCAGCTCCCTGCCTGCACCCCAAGGGTCCCTCCCCCCACCACCAGTTCGCACTCTGTCGGAGTTATTTTTACCACCATCATGTGGCCCTGCTTCCAGGTGAGGAGGCTGGAGGGCCAGAGGTGACACAGAAGGCGTGAAGGGCAACAGGAGGCAGGGGGGGGGGAAGGAGGGGTGAGAGAGAGGGGGCTGGGGGTGCGGGTGGGGAGTCACGCGGCGGGGGGAGGAGACGGGAGGGCTCCACGGGGACAGGAGGGGGACGGCAACCTGATCCCCTTGCCGCTCAAGCCTTTAAAAGATCAACCAATCGCTTCGGCTCCTCTCCCCCCTCTCCCAGCTTGGAATAAAATCCTAACCCACCACTGAGGCTTGGCCCCTCCCTACGGCCCCCTGAATGGTGGGCCCCTCGCCCCCACATCCACATGGCTCCCCCGGGTTTCCTTGAACACCCCAAGCTCTGTGCATGTGTTGCTCCTTCTGACTGTTGTTCTGTCGCTCAGTCGTGTCTGACTCTTTGGGACCCCATGGCCTGCAGCACGCCAGGCTTCCCTGTCCTTCACCATCTCCAGAGATTGCTCCAATTCAGGTCCTTTGAGTCAATGATGCGCCTTCTGATAGGGAGAGACTAAGGATAGTTAAACAAGCAGTTGCAGAAGTCCTAGTAGGGGACTAGAGACACAGGGAAACCGAGGGAAGTCGGGGACCGCTGCAAGTTACTGATCACCCAGAAGAGCTGTCAGAACCTCATGGAATGAAGCCAGCTTGCTTAACTATAAAACCACAAATGGGGGCATGAGATATGCCCCAGCTCATTAAATGAAAGAAAAAAATTATTCTGCTGATTTAAGTAAGCGCTGAGATAGTCCTGGTTTGACCTTCTAGGGTCAGACACTCTCCCATCCGATGTGAAGGAGGAGCTCGTGATGAAAAGTGGAAGTTTTTCAGTGGTGTCCAACTCTTTGCGACCCCATGGACTCTACAGTCCATGGAATTTTCCATGACAGAATACTATCCCTTCTCCAGCGGATCTTCCCAACCCAGGAATCGAACCAGGGTCTCCTGCATTGCAGGCGGATTCTTTACCACCTGAGCCACAGGGAAGCCCCCTAGTGATGAAAGCCTGGGGTCTGCTTGGAGAATGAGGAGGCAGTCTTTCCCCCCTCCCCAACTCTCCTTTGATTATAAAAATGTAACCCACTTAATCCTTGGGGCAGAGCCTCCTCTCTCACAAGCGTCCTATATTAATAAATATACTTTTTAAAAATTTATTTTATTTTATTTATTTATTTTTAATAAATATACTTCTTGCCTAGTACTTTGCCTCTCTGAATTCCTTCTGTGCTGAAACATGAGACCCTGAGCCTCAGTAAGCTGAGACACCAGGTGAGTGACTCCAGTTATAAGACTATGGGCTCAAGTCCTAATCTGGGTTGCACTTTTGCCCCAGTTCCCTCCCTTGCCCTTTGACCTGGCCCGCTCCTGTTTATCTGTGGTCTCAAAGTCATCCTCTGCAGGGGAATGTGGCTGCCTTTTGCCTGCTCATGTTCCCTTTCTCTTTCCAGGGGTCCTTTGGGGGCCACCCCTTCCCTACTCTCATTCTAGAAGGTTCACCCTGTCCCCCAGGCCTGTGCCCCAGACCTGGCTGATCAATGAATTCCAAGTCCAGCAGCCAAGCGATAGGCTCAGGGAAGGTTGTGTGATCCGAAGTCAGCCAAGAAAGTGTAACTCTGGGATAGACTGGCCCGGAAAGAGAAGCTGTTTTCTGTTGATGGGATGCTGGTACTGTCCTGTCCTATAGCTGTTGTCTTCTCCTCACCGCTCATCTCTGGGGAGTGGAGAATATTCCTGAAAGTGAAGTTGATACAGTGGAAAGCACAGAAAGAAGAGCACCCTGGAGCTCCTGGATCCAGCTACGCCTAAAGCCATCTATCTATGGAGTTTGTAATCACCATTCCTCCAGATGGTGACTGCAGCCATGAAATTAAGACGCTTGCTCCTTGAAAGAAAAGTTATGACCAACCTAGACAGCATATTTTAAAAAGCAGAGGCATTACTTTGCCAGCAAAGGTCCGTCTAGTCAAGGCTATGGTTTCTCCAGTGGTCATGTATGGATGTGAGAGTTGGACTGTGAAGAAAGCTGAGCACAGAATTGATGCTTTTGAACTGTGGTGTTGGAGAAGACTCTTGAGAGTCCCTTGGACTGCAAGGAGATCCAACCAGTCCATCCTAAAGGAAATCAGTCCTGAATATTCATTGGAAGGACTGATGCTGAAGCTGAAACTCCAGTACCTTGGCCATCTGATGTGATGAACTGACTCACTGGAAAAGACCCTGATGTGGGAAAGACTGAAGGTGGGAGGAGAAGGGGATGACAGGATGAGATGGTTGGATGACATCACTGATTCAATGGACATGAGTTTGAGTAAACTCTGGGAGTTGGTGATGGACAGGGAGGTCTGGCGTGCTGCAGTCCATGGGGTTGCAAAGAGTCAAACGTGACTGAGCGACTGAACTGAACTGAAATCCTCCTTTGGCAAAGTCAGCCACTGGGTGGCGTTTTCTATCACTTGTCCTATCTAATACTACCCAGTCCACCAAGTCAAGGTGAGACTGCCCACCTCTTCAACTCACAGAGATTTACAAGATGGATATGTAATTCCATTACACATCTGTCAGTAATTAACGTGTAATCACACGATTATCTATGTGACCTGTCTAAAATCTCTCTGAGACTGAGCACCCTTAGAGGGCAGGGTAGCATCTGGCTGGTGCAGATGTGGCCCCAGCACAGCACCCGGCACGGGGAGAGCCTGGCACGTCACCGGTTTGCAGTAACATGCAGGGCTCCTCTCTGGATGCCTGCTGCCCAGCACAGGGTGGGCCAGGCTCGGAAGACAGTTCTGCAGTGGCTGTAGTGGCTAGGAGTTTGGGCTCTGGAGTCAGACAGGGCCTAGTTGAAATCCCAAACTGGGGTGACCTTGGGCAAGGTGTCTGCCCCCCCTGATCCCGTCTCACTACCCAGGGACAGCAGTGGTCTTGCCTCACAGGGCTGTGGTGAGGGTGAAATGAAAGAAAAGACTCCAGACACACAGTATGCGCACATAGCAAGTGACAGCGTGATTATCCCAAGGTGCCCCAGCCAGCAGGCCAGCTGTCCCATGGAGTCTGCCCAAGGTCAGGGCTCCAGTACAGAAGATGCAGTTGCCACAGTGTTGGGAAAGACTCTTTATTCAGTCCTGGAGAGGAGCCGGCCTGGCAGGGCAAAGGAAGGGCCCGCTCAGGGCCACGCCTTCAGCCCCGGGGCAGCTCCGGGCCGGCCAGGCGGGGCTGGTAGACACCAGGGGCCAGCAGCTTCAGGGTGAACTCGGTGATGACGGCTGTGAGCCCCCAGACCCGGTGCGGCCCATGCAGGAAGACAGGCAGCGTGTACTGGAAGTGGCCACCGCGGCAGAAGTGGGTGTAACCTTGGTTCTGCTCCTGCAGCAGATGGGCCAGGGGCAGGGCGAACACTTCATCCACCTGTGGGTAGGGGGTGGCAAGAGGGCAGACAGAGTGCTGGCCACTGCAGCCTCCCCCATCGGGACAACCTGCCTCCCCACCCCAGATGCCCCTACTCACCTCCTCGGGGTTGGGCCTGAGGCTCTGGGGATCCAGCGGGCCCACACCGGCCAGCACTGGCACCACTGTGGCCTTTTCCTGTGGCAGGAGTGGGGCAGGCCGTCAAGGCAAGGAAGACCTTGGCAGGGCTTTGGGCCAGGGGAGCCTTGGGGGAGGCCTCTGGGGCCTACAGCCATGCAGGCCAGGTCCACCCAGCCTTGCTCCTGGACCTGCTCCAGCCATGCTGACTGGCTCAGGCCCCCTCAACACACTAGACCCACCCGGGCCTCTGGGCCGTTGCTCTCCCTTACTTTTAGCACCCTCAAATCTCCCCTGCCTAGCCTGCGACACCCTCCCCAACCTCTATCCACCAAGCCTAGCAGAGCTACCTCCATCCCAGGACTGAGCCTCAGGATCCCCCTTGAAAGGGGAATCAAATACCCTTGGCCCCTTCCCCATGGGTGTGGGAGGCTGGGACACGAGAGCCGGGCAGGTTGTCTGGGACCCCACCGCCCTCGGTGACTGCCACAGTCCCCACGGCCACCGTCCTGGTCCCTGAGCACCCCGCTCCTAGCCCGGGGCGAGCAGACGGGCCCAGCGGGGTAAGTGCCTGAAGGCCTGAAGGGCTTACCCGGTCGTGCACCGGCCGCAGGACTCCCCACACCTGCTCCTCGGGCACAGCCAGGCCCAGCTCCTCCTGCGTCTCCCTCAGGGCCGTGTGCACCACATCCCGGTCAGTGGGGTCACACTTGCCACCTGGGAAACTGAACAGGCAGAGGGAGCCTGCTTCTTGGCCACTGGGTGGGACCGTGAAGGGCTGGGGGTGGCTGCTGCGGCAGGGATTCGCCTAAAAAAAAAGTCTCTGCCCCTAGTTTGCAGAGGGCTGGGCAAACCCCAGGACCTCTGCAGGCTCGGTTTACCTCCATGAACAGGGGTAAGGGGGAGAAACCTTGTGCCTCCCGGGGCCCAGCTATGCTAACTGGGCTTATCATGTGTAGCCCCAGAGGTGCTGACATTGACCCTAGGGTGTTCCCAGTTTCCGCCGGGGGGGAGGGGGGCGCGGCCTGGGGGAAGCCAGGTAGCCCCACCCCGGGTGCCCCCTTGGTTCCTGGAGGCAATCCTCCCTCAGTAACCGGGAAGGGGCGAAGTTCTGTCTCTTTAGTGTGTGCGCTTGGTCGCTCAGTCGTGTCCGGCTCTTTGTGACCCCGTGGACTGTATCCCGACAGGCTTCTCTGTGCATGGGGATTCTCCAGGCAAGAAGACTGGAGTGGGTTGCCATGCCCTGCCCTCCTCCAGGGGAATCTTCCTCACCCTGGAATCGAACCCCAGATCTCCTGCATTGCAGGCGGAGTCTTTAGCGTCTGAGCCACCAGGGAAGACCAGGAATCCTGGAGTGGGTAGCCCATCCCTTCTCCAGGGGATCTTCCCGACCCAGGAATCGAACCGAGGTCTCCTGCATTGCAGGCGTAGTCTTTATCAGCTGAGCTGTCCCCCACCCGCGCTTCGAGCAATCCGCGCGGCGGCGCCGGGGCAGGAGTACCTGCGGCGCCAGGTTCCGGGCGGAGGGATGCGGATTGTTGATTCCCGCCGCAGTCGGCTGGCCGACGGGCTCTACTTAGACCCATTCTGCAGAGGCGGAAACCAAGGCTCGCGGAGGCTAAGTGCTTTGCCCACGACCCGGCGGTCTCCGCGGTTTCGCGGCGCCCTCTTAGAAGGGAGAGGAGGTCCCAGCAGGTGTACCTGACGTCACCCTTGTGCCTCCCGGCCAGGCGGCTGGACCGCAGCGTGTAGAGGAGCGCCGGGACCCCGCGCACCGAGCACAGAGGTACGAGGACCGCGGCCGCCGCAGGCCGCGCGCGCAGCCGGGCCGTGGCTCCCGCCAGCAACCGCCGGCAGCGCTGTTCGCCCTCCGCCGACAGGCAGTCGGGCAGCATGTCCGGTCCAGCGCGGCGGGGACACCGAGGGAACCGGGCGGCGCGAGGGAAGAGGCTCGGGTGAGTACACTTGGGGAGGTCTCTCGGGAACCTGGGGGCGGGCCGTGGGAGGAGTTTACCCGCCTTGGTGGGGAGCGGTAGGTGCACAGGCCACGCCCACGGGGCGGGGCCCGACTAAGGGGCGGACCCAGCAGGGGAGGGGCCCTCTGAGAGTTGTGGGGAGGGTTCGGGAAGGGCAGGGCGGGAAGGGGCGGGAAGGGGCGGGGCGGGGCGGGGCTCGATAGCCCGGGCTTCCGGCAGGGGCGGGCCTGGGCTTCCGGTAGGGGCGGGCCTGGGCTTCCGGTAGGGGCGGGCCTGGGGCGGGGCTGGCCCGACGGGCCTGGAGAGTGCCCCCTGCCTAGTGCAACTGGACTCGTGTCTGGCCGGCGACTGGGCTCGGCCGTTCTGACCGCCGGGTTTGAGAGTCGAGATGTCTGACTGTTGAGGCCCCGCGTTTCTCCACGCCCGCAAGTGCTGCAGGGTGTTTGGAGTCGGCGTTTATGGGTTAGAGATGCCTGGGGCCGCGGGAAGGAGTGCCCAGCCCTTCCCACCCTCCGGGCCCTATCTCCTGGTTGCGCTGGGTGGCATGCGCTGCGCCCTCTCGCTCCAGGGGACCCATTCCAGCCCCAGACCTTTCTCCACCTCCGGGAGCTGCCCTCTGCTCCCCTCCCGTCTCCTCCGCAACTTCTCTTACAGGTGCTGGTCACTTTCTCTAGAAGCTCTCCTGCCTGGAATTTTGATTGAATTCTCAAACTCCTCATGTCACCCCCATCTTGACCCCTGTGGTCACTGCCTGTGGCATGCTGCACCCCTCTGCCAGACTGTCCCCCCCACCCAAGGACTAGACACCCTGGTCTTGCACACAGCACCTAAATGTGGAATGGCAGGTGTCCCATGCTTCGCTTCGATTTTGAGCAGTGCCTCCCTGAGCTGCAGTTTCGGTCCTCATCTGGGCAGGCAAGGCAGAGGGCAGGAACACAACCTCCCTCACAGCCCTGCCACTCAGCTTGTGTTGCCACCTTTACCATGACTCTGCTCCCTGGGACGCCAGCAGCACGGAGCAGAGCTTTGTGATGTCTGCAGCCCAGACTCAGGTGTGGGCTTTCCTGAGGCCCTCCACCCTGACCTCCAAGGACAGAAGTGCTCTGACCACCCATTCCAAATGGTTTAATGTTGGAGGGAAGAGAGAGGCAAAGCAGGGTTTGGAGGAGTCGCCCCCAAAGTAGAGGGGGAAGCTTGGAGGTAGGGGGTCCAGTTCCAAGCCTGGCACCATCCCAGCCTGGAAACTCTGGGCAGGTCGCTTTCCTCTTTGGGCTTCCACCTGCTCTGCTCTCCTGGTCAAGGGAGGGGTGGTGGTCTCTGCAGAGGTAAGGCTGAAGAGAGTGGGCTCCAGGATGAGAGGACTCTGTCCACAGGGTCCCCACCGTCACTGCAGGTCCTGGCCAGGCCCCAGGCACATTGCAATGGGGGAGAGGAGCCCCTGCCCCGCTGGGAGGGGCAGGCCCCCCTGGTCCCTATCGGCCTGGATATTGGGGAGGGGGTATGGTGTCGGTCGGGCCCTTGGTTGGACGGGGCTTGAGGCTCCAGGGTACAGGCCCTGGTAGGTGAGGGGCGGGTAGGTGGCTGGGGCCAGCAGAGCCTCAGTGGGGGCCAGCAGCTGATGGTGGAGCCTGGCGGGGGTCCTGGCGGTGAAGGCTTTGTTGGGGTCTGAGAGGGGAGGACGTGGTCTGAGTGGAGCCCAGGCCTGCCCTCACTCCTTCAGCCCGCCGGTCCGAGAGCCTGCTGCTCCCCTTTCTCAAGTTGCCCACGGCTTAGCCTTTGTGCCTGCTCTTGCCTCTGCCTGGACTTTCTTCCCCTCCTCCTCCCTCCTTTTCAGTCCTCCAAGGCCCAGCCCAGAAACCGCCTCCTCCAGGAAGTCTACCTGACCTCCACCCTCACCACCCCCCACCACCCCTGCTCTCTGCACCTTGTCCCTGCCCAATCGTTCTCCCTGCCCTGGGTCCAAAATTGTCTCAGAAATTTCTGCTTCCCCTCTCTGTCCGCACAGATGCCCGGTGAGCTTGCTGAGCAGTCTACAGGTCCTTCCTGGGGGCCCCGTGGCCCTCTCCCCTCCCTTCCTGCCCACTTAGCACGCTCCGGTCCCACCGTGTCTGTGAGCCTGGGGGCTGACCTTTCTCTCGCTCATTGGAGCCTTTCAGCAGACAGGGGCCGAGGCTGCTGCGACTCCAGGTCGGGATGCTGAGCAGGGGCCGTGGAGATATAGGCCTGGAGGTGGGGCAAGCAGGAATGGGGACAAGGGTCACGGTGGGGAACCCAGGCCAAGGGTCATGGTCTGAGTCAGGCAGTGGGACCCCAGGACAAGCCAGTGGCTGTGACCCTTAAAGAAGGGTCAGGAGCTGAGACCTTAAGAGATGCCTTGGGATAGAAATGGGGTGAGGGGATGGGGCCAGATGGTACCAGGAGTCTGGGTCACTCTCCCGAAAGCCCTTGGCAAATGGGTTGCTGGCAATTTTCAGCTGGGTGATCTGCAGAGGAGAGAGTGTAGTTAGAGGTCAGCCTTGAGCTGGGGAGAGGCTGTGGGGCCCCAGGCTAACCACCCTCTCCTCCCTGGATCCCCCCAGTCTGGAGGCCATGGGCCTCTCAGTCCAGGAACCACAGAGCCAGTGGGCATGAAGGCAGGGGAATGACTGTGGGCTAATGCCCATGGAGTCCCAGAAGGACAGACGGGCAGGGCTCTGTGTGCCTGTCAGGCCTAAGAACCTGGTCCTTCAGTTTCTCCCATGTGATGGGCTGGGGGAGTGAGGTTAGGAATTGTGCCTGACGCACCCGGTGGTTCTGATACGCTGTGACGGCCGTGAACTGGGTCTCCGTGAAGATGAAGGACTTGAAGTTCTCCTGGGCATAGCGCTCGCTGTCTTTGCGTGGGTCCACAAAAACCACGTGGAAGCGTGGCTGGTAGCGATGCATGGAGTTGAGGATGATCTGTGGGGCGGGGCAGCAGCCAGCCCTCGCTGAGGCTGAAGTGCTTCCTCCAGCCACCCCGCCTCCCCATACCTCCCGTCTCATAAGTGCTACTGCCAGGTGTGAGGTTGTGAGTCTGCGGCTAAGTCAAAGGCCGTTTGTCGTCTGAGCGTCCGGGCGACTTGGCCTCTCACTCCCACGTCCCAGCCACCATAGGGCCATCTGGGATTTGACCACCTCTCCTACCCCATGGCCTCCACGCCGCCCGGCCACCACCATCTTTCTCCTGGATTTCTGCAGCTGCCTCCCAGCTGCGCTCCCTGGCTCCTCTGCCCATCTTCCGCACAGCAGCCCCAGTGAGCTGCAGCTCAGAACCGCTGCCCCCATCCTTGGCTCCTGCCCCACACAGAGAAAAGACCTGAGTCCTGTCCGCAGCCAACTGATCCTGCAGATCAGCGCATGCTGCCCCTAGTATCTCTTCCCCTCCCACTGCCCCTCCTCACTCCACTCCGGCCACACGGGAGCCTCCTCGCAGGTCCCCCGACTCCCCAGTATCCTCCTGCCTCAGGGCCTTTGCACTCGCTGGCCCCTCTGCCTGCCACAGCTCCCTCTTCTATATATACAGGCTCCCTCCTCCACTCCATCAGACTTCTCTTCAAATAGCCTCAGTTGCCACCTCGTCTCAGACCCCTTCCTTGGTTCCTTTTTCTCCTGACATCAGCCTGATCTTTGCCTTGGACAAAGTGTCAATGATGCTGTTTTTGCATCTGTGGTGGGCCTGGGCAGTCCCCTCTGCTGTCCGACCCCCAGCCAGATGGACTTGGGCATCAAAGCCCCACCCAGTTCTGGCCCCAGGCTTCATCACACTCAGGCCCCAGTGTCCCCTGCCCTGGCCCAAGCCCTCCCCACAGTGGCCCGGGCCTCACGTGGCCATTGTCATCCAGTAGGTTGTTGGTCAGCTTGAGCTTGTCGAAGGACACGATCTGACGCATCCACTGTGCGCCCTTGGCCGGCGAGTCGGGGTGGAAGTGCACGCGGCCGGGCGTGGCCGGGTCCGCCTTGCCTGCCACCAGCCAGGCAGAGCTGTGGAAGGCATACCTGGGGACGGAGCGAGGTGGCCAGGGCGCCCCAACTGCACCCCAGGGCACCTACCTCATCTGCTGCCCCCACCTGGAGCCAAGACTGACAGGGGTCACCATCTCCCCTACTGCCCACGTGCTGGCCCATCTGCGCACGAGGAACCAGAGGCTCCAGAGTGCTGCCCAGCCTGGGGTCCCTGCGGTCGCACCTGCTGCCCTGGGCTAACCCCCCCATCCCTGCCTGCCCGGGATAGACCCCCTGACACTGTTCCACTGGCCCCTGCTTCACCCAGGGAGCAGGTGGGCTTCTGCTTCCCCATCTCAGTGCCTGAGGTCTGAGCTTCGAGCCCCGGCCAGCCCCGGACCTGTATCTCTTGTCATCCAAAGGCACGAAATCCATGAGCAGGGCGTAGTCAGCCAGCGTGTCCATGCCCAGGATCTTCACCTGGAAGGTGGGGAACATCCTCCTGCGGGAGGGGGTGCTCAGCGGCCCCAGCATGGTTCCAGCCTGCCCCCGACTCCCGCCACCCCCTCACCCCCCGTGCTCACACCTGCCCGCCTTGGTGACGATCATCTCTGTGCCCAGATGGTTGAACTCTTCCCACAGAGCCTTCATCTCCAGCTGAACCGTCACGCTGGACACGCGGGGATTCTTGGGGCCCTGCTCGGTGGCCTCGGCCACCGCTGGGGCCCCTGTGGAACCGGTGGAAGGGCCTGATGGTATCATGGAGTCTGGCTGGGGCTCCCAGCTGGAGCTGGTCACGGGCAGTGTGTAGGTCTCTGAGGGGGCAAGTACCCCGAGGCCAGCAGAGAGGAAGGCTGGGGAGAGAGGACAGGATGTGGGCCTCTGTTCTCCTCACCCACCCTTATTCCACCCGGCTAGCCTTCATCTTTCAGGCTGCACCAGATGCCTCTTCTTCCAGGAAGCCCTCCCTGATTGCCAGGCCTGTGTTCCCATAGGATCCCTAACTCAGCATCACTTCATGAGGTAAATGCTCACTTAAAGCTCCTGGAGGCCAGAGACAGGCCCTGTCTGGCTTCCCAGGGAATCTTTGAGCCATCAGGAGGCCATGTGGCCTTGAGCAAATTATTTCACCTCCTTGAACCTCAGTTTCCACATCTGTCCCAAGGAGTTCTTAAATCTGCCTTGTTGGCTGATGTGAGGATTCGTGGAGACACACACAGGGCCTGGCACACAGTAGGCCCTTCAGAAAGGGCCTTGTTATGGATGATGGTGCAGGTGGGGTTGTGAGGGGTGGAGGGGGGGGCGGTCTTTCTCAGCTCTCTGCAGACCTGGCTGCCTCGTGCTGCTTAAGAGAGTACTGAGCTGAAGGAGGTCCCCAGATTACTGTGGGTCACTCTTGCCCATCTCTGACCCTGAAGTGGTGTTAGTCACTCAGTCGTGTCTGACTCCTTGTGACCCCATGGACTGTTGCCCACCAGGCTCTTCTGTCCATGGGATTCTCCAAGCAAGAATACTGGAGTGGGTTGCCATTCTCTTCTTCAGGGAATCTTCCCCACCCAGGGATCAAACCTGGGCTCTCCTACACTGCAGGCAGATTCTTTACTGTCTGAGCCGCCAGGGCAAACTCGCCCAAATTCTGCCTCCAGAAGCCAGTTCTAACATCTTTCCTCTCTGGCCTCCTCAGTTTTTCCTAAAGGGCCCCTCTTTTAGGCTTTCCTGGTGGCCCAGTAGTTAAGAATCCAACTGCCAATGCAGGGGCTACGGGTTTGATCCCTGGTCCAGGAAAATCTCACATGCCACAGAGCAGCTAAGCCTGCGTGTCACAACTACTGAAGCCCACGGGCCCTACAGCCCACACTCTGCCTCAAGAGAGGCCACCACGATGAGAAGCCCAAGCACCGCCACAAAGAATGACCTCTGCGTGCATTAACGAAGACCCAGAGCAGCCAAAAATAAATCTTAAAAAGATAAAAGAGCCCATTTTTTGTCTGCAAACCTGCACATGTCTTGTGCAAAAGTTTGCCAAGGCTCCGTCCTTCTTACTAAAAAAATTTTTTTTAACTATAATGAGATACTTTATACCTAGGAGGATGGCTACTACCAAAAACCAAAGCAAGTAACAAAAACAACAATAACAAAAAAAGTGTTACAAGTGTTGGTGAAGATGTAGCGAAATTGGAACACTTGTGCTTTGCTGGTGGAATGTAAGACAGTGTAGCCCCTGTGGAAAACCACTGATGGTTCCTCAAAATATGAAAGATGGAGTTACTATGGAAAGTGGAAGTGTTAGTCATGTCCGACTGTGTGAGTCTCCTGCGTTGGCGGGCGGATTCTTTACCACTGCACCACTTGGGAAGCCCATGTCTGACTCTTTGTGACCCCGTGGACTACAGCCTGCCAGCTTCCTCTATCCATGGAATTCTCCAGGCAAGAACATTGGAATGCCCAAAAGAACCAAGAGCAAGTACCTGAACAGATATGTGTTCATTGGTATTCAGAGCAGCATTGTTTGCAACAGCTAAAATGTGGATGCAACCCTAGTGTCTGTCCATTGAGGGATGAATGGATAAGAAGAAAGTGTGTATCCAGCAATGGAATATTATTCAGTCTTTAAAAGGAAGGGTATTATGATGCAGACTATGACATGGGTGAAACTTGAGGACGTTAATGCTATGTAAGACAAGGCAGTCAGAAGAGAACAAAGACTGTATGATTCCATTCATAAGAGGTGCCTAAAGTAGCGAAATTCATAAACAGAAAGTGGATGGTGGTTGCCAGGGGCAGGGAGAGGGGATGAATTAACATTCAATGGGGACAGTGTTTCAGCTTTGCAAGATGCAGAAAGTTCTGGAGATAGATGGTGGTGATGGTTGCACACTAATAGGAATGTGCTTAATGCCACTGAACACTTAAAAAATACTTAAAATGATAGTTTTTATGTTATATATGAAAAAGTGAAAAAGAAACTGTTAGTCACTCAGTCATGTCTGACCCTTTGAGACCCCATGGACTGTTGTCTGCCAGGCTCCTCTGTCCATGAAATTCTCCAGGCAAGAATACTGGAGTGGGTAGCCATGCCCTTCTCCAGGGGATCTTCCCAACACAGGATCAAACCCGGGTGTCCTGCATTACAGGAGGATTCTTTACTGTCTGAGCCGTCAGGGAAGGCCCATGTTATGTATATTTTAACACAACATTTTAAACTGGAAAAAGCATCCTGAAAAGCAGACTGTTCACTTCTAGCAGCCCCACATGGGTTGAGAACCTAGTAAAACCGTGTAATCCCCTGGGCAGAGGTAGAATTATGGTGCTGGATGGATGGATGGACAGATCCATGGGTGGAGGGAGTTTCCTGGGATGATGCAGCATGTGATGAGTTGATAGGCAGGCAGCACCTGGCCAGAGCCAGTGCATAGTAGGTACCAGGTGAGGGTGTGAGGTCCAAGGCCAGTCGCCCCACCCTTAGCAGCCCTGAGAGCAATGTGTGAGAAGTGGCACCTCACTAAAGCCCCTGGAAGCTCTGCAGTCTGGGAATGGGTGGGTCTTACTGAAAGGGGATGGGCCATATCAGGTCTAAATCCCCCAGAGATGAAGGGTGGACGGGCCGATGTCCCTCATAACCTGGACCAGGCCATCAGGTGGGCAGTTAGTTGCCCACCACTTAGCTGTCCTGCTGGGGCAGGTACATCATCCAGGTAATCCACGCCAGCCCCAGAGTCTTTGGTGATGTGTCCCAAGGGGGAGAGGCTCATGGTTTTGCTGGGCCTGGGGACTTTGCAGGCTCTTTACTGGCTCCCCAGTCTTTTCTGAGCCTATACCCTGCCCCTCCTGGTTCACATGCTGCCCTGTGCCACCCTCAGTAACTCTGGGGAGGGGCCTGTCCTTGCTCAGTTCCTCTGAAAGCCAACACCTCTTGATTGCCAATTTCCACCGACATGGAGTCAGATTTGGAGCGGAAGCTAGAGGCTCCTTTTCCACCTTGATAATCAAGGGGTGAGGCCCAGAGAAAGGAGGAGCCAGGCCCAAGTTCCCCCACACCTGATAAGGCTTTCACCTCCCAGAAATCACTCTGTCCCGCTGCCTATCAGCACCCCCACATTTGCACTTGGATGGCTGCATGGACCCCACCCTGGTGGGATCTGAGGCCTCCGCCTGGGGTACCCCTGCCCCATCCTCTGCCCAGGCCCTGGGTATAGTGGGGTTTCCCTGGTCGCTAAGCTTAGACCCTGCCCACTCCACCCACCCCAGAGCCTGAACCCACTTGTGGGACTGCCTTGGCTACCTGCCCCTTACCTGCCATGGGGACAGCCCAGACTTCCGGTTCCTGGAGACGGTGGTTCAGCTGGGGTCCCTGCTTGTCACCAGTGGTCAGCCTCTCCCGGTCTCCTGGTCTATCGGCAGCACGGCTCAGCACTCAGGCCCTCCCTCGGTCCCCAGCCTCCTGGCAGGACTGTCCTTCCCTCCTGAAACGTCCACGTCTTGTTCCTCTCCCAGAGCCAGGCACCTGGTCTCTGCAGGTGGGACCTCGGCCCTGGGGTGTGCAGAGCCCCTTCTGCAAGCCACCCTCAGACTGGACTGCACGAGGCCCTGGGCTGGGCTCGTCCAGCTCCAGGCGCGATGCTGTGCGGGAGGAGGGCAGGTGGGGAAGCTCTGACGTGGCGAGGCTGCCTCTCCCCCTCCCGGTCCCCGCTCCTGGCTTCCTCCCCTCCCCAGCTAGGAGCCCCCCAGCCATTCCTGATCAATGGGCCCAGACGCAGGGCGGGGGCCCAAGTCCAGGACAGGCAGGGAGATCCGTAGGGGTCCAGGCCTGGCTGAATGGAGGGGCCGGGGGCTGACCGGGCCTCGGGGAGGTTGAGGGGCTGGAGAAGAAGCATGGAAGGCTGAATGGCAGAGGCGCTGCCCTTCTCCTAGGAGCCAGACTCCTGATCGGGGGCTGCTGTCGTGGAATCACCAGGGAGCTCGGGCCGGAAAGACAAGGGGGCAACAGCCATGTGTGTGAGCAGAAGCAGAGCCCCTGGACTGGGGGGTGGGAGGCCAGGTCCTCCTGACCGCTCAGCCCATGAGCTGTGACACTGGCAGGACCTGACGGCCCCGTGCCTCAGTTTCCCCAACTGAACTAAGTGCATAATCGCTTCTGCCTGGGATGGGCTGGCCCCTCCTGGGGGGATGCAGTAAGCTGTCCACATCTTGGCTGATGGTGCCTACAGAGTCCCCACAGGGTGGGGGGAGCCTGGCTCAGGTCAGAGGCCTCGGGGGCAAGTCCTGACCAGGCCCCTTCCCCAGCAGCCCCTGCCCGTCTGGAGCAGGGCATTCAGGGAACACGCAGGTGGCTGGTCAGAAAGGGAGTGGGGTCCCCCCACGCTGCTTGCTGCCGTGTGGCCCAGGGCGGGTCATAGGGGTAAGCCCGGTCTGGCCCACTCTAGGGCCCTGGGCTGGGGCACCAGGCAAGAGCACATCAGGCTGGGCCGGGCATGCCCAATCAGGGTTCCCAAAGTCTACGGGACCCGATGCCTCCTCCACAGTCGAGCTCTGGGGACACAGTGTGACACCCCGGCCCCTCCCAGAGCCACGTGGGGGGCAAACTCTCCTCCCTCAGCTCAGGGGGGCTGCTGCCTCACCCCCCCCACCGTGCCCCAGGTCCCTGAGGCCAGGCTCGGAGGAATGCCGCCGGGAGAGTGAGGGCTGACCCTGGCACAGACCCAGCCCTGGGGTCTGCTGCTGCGCAGGACGGGGCGAGTCCTCCGCCCTTGTGAGGGAGGGTCCCAGAGGCTCCCAGGGATGAGGGGCCGCCTCGTGAGGTGGAGCCATGCAACCCTGTCCCAGGAGCCACGGTGGGGCAGGGGGGAGGTAGGAGAGGTGATGGGGTTGGCGCCTCCTCAGCCTGGACTCCCAGGGGCCTGGGCGTCTATTGGCTTCTGATGTGTGTGTGTGTGTGTGTGTGTGTGTGTGTGTGTGTGTACGCGCTTGCACATGCCTTTGGTCTGTGAGATGGGAAGCCCGCCACATGTACGTAAGTGCACTGGCATGCCAACCCACGGGCACACACAGACTCAAGACTCAATGACCTGCCACCACTCGTGTGCACACAAGCACATGCTTCTCTGTGCTCAGAAACACATGCTGTCTCTTACACGCGTGCGTGTGCACACAAACACACACAGGCATGCCTCCCTTCTTCACAGCCTCTTCCCCAGCCAGTTTGCTCTTCCTGCCGGAGGCGCCTCCTGGCCCCCTGCCCCCTCATCCATCTTGCCTGCCAGCCTGTCCCGGGTGCCCCCATATCCTTCACACCTTCTCATCTCGCTGCTCAATAGCAGGAGGCAGCGCGGCAGCCGTGGCCGCAGGGAGATGGATGGGCCGGGTGGGGGTGCAGAGGGCCCAGGGAGGGAGAGCTGGGGAGGACGGAGCTCTGGGCTCCTCCAGCCCCCCTGTCGGGCAGGAGCGAAGCTCTCAGGCACGGGGGCGGGGGCAGGCCGTGTCCAGGCTCTGTCGCGCCCCGACCAGCGTGGCCCTTTGGTGGACACTGCAGAGAGTGCCTGGTCATGACTGAGGGGACCCCAGGGGCAGGACTCAGCCTCCCTGGCGGGACTTCTGCCATGCCGCCTGCCCCGCCTGTCCGTCCTCCCTGCAGCCCTGCACCTGGACAGGTGTTCCCAGGTGGGGACAGCCTTGTCGAGCTGCACCCCTTCCCCAGCCGTGACACCCCTGAGTCCCATGAGCACTGGGCTCATTGCACACCTGGAAATACACATCTGGGCTGTGCCACCCGCCACATATGGATCCTTCTGGAAGAAGGGCCAAAGTGCTGAGGCTCTCAGAAACGTGTGCTCACACACACAGCGCCTGGACAGGCACATGCCTGGACACCCACACACGTGGGCACATACACAGCCACACACTTCTGCCCTCCCAGATCGACTCTGTGGTCCTGTGAACACAGGGTGTTTGGAGCCCTCCTCTGGACCATGGCCTCCTCTGAAAGCCCCTCTGCTGGCCCCAGGGCAATCTTTCTCCAAGTCCCCCACCACACACACACACACACACACACACACACACACACACACACACACACGCACTATGGGATCTTCCCCCTGGGCTGTGATGAAATAGTGTGGGCACAGAGACAGTCAGCCCTGGCCCCAGAACACACAGCAGGTCTAAGACCACCCTGAGCCAGACCTGCCCCAGATCCCGAGGTCACAGAGAGGGATCCTTTCCCACGCAGGAGAGAGGACAGGAGCCGTGGACCCCTGGACACCTTCGATTTTATAGAACGGGAAACTGAGGCATGGAGGTGCATGGGTTTGGCAAAAATGTGGCACACAGTGGGGGGCAAAGGGGGGCCCTGGGCTGCAGATTGTGTCTCAGGACCCACTGTTCAGAAGGGAGGTCTGAGGCCGGGCAGACATGGCCTGGGTTGGGGACCCAGGCTGGGCGGGGGCCAGTGTGGGCAGGGCAAGCCTGGGGAATGTGAGCTTCTCAGTTTGAATGAAGACAATGCCCCTCTCATAGTCGGCAGCCGTGTTGATGAAATGGGGTACACGGTGGGCTCCCCCTCACAGAGCATGTCCTCACCACTGAACATCTGGGAGACGAGTCACAGTGGCTGGAAGCCTTGATCCTGGGAGAGGACCCAGGGGCCAAGGCTGCTGGGGCCAACCTCTACCCTGGCCCCAAAGAGGGCAGCCCAGCAGGGCCTTCCAAGAGATGCCCCTCACTGATGGCCCTGTCCACCTGCTCCTTCACCTCCTCAGTCAGCGCAACAGGGTGTCTGCTGAGACATCAACTGGCTCTGTGTCTAGAAATGGAGACACCGGTCACCTTAGAAGTTTGGTTACAGGCACAGTGAAGCCTGAGTTCAACGCCTTGCTTGTTGTGTGACCTTGAGCAAGTCATTTAACTTCTCTGTGTCTCAGCTTTCTCATCTGTAAAACTGGGATTATACTATCTCCTCCTATCATCCTGAGGTTTAAATTAAACAGCTAATAGTGCTTAAAACAGGGTTTGGGGGTAATTCCCTGGCAGTCCAGGGATTAAGACTCAGTGCTTTCACTATGGTGGGCTCAGGTTCGATCCCTGGGGAATTGAGATCCTATAAGCTGAACAATCCAGACACATAAAACAAACAAGCCAAAAAAAAAAAAAAAAAGCAGTGTCTGACACGTATTAACTACAATATAAAAGTGTATTAAATAAAAATTTAAATTGTGGGAGAAATCACTCAAAATCACTATTATTTAGCATCTGCAGGGAAGATGGATCTCTAGCCCCAAACACTGAAAGGACAGTGTTTCTTCCCCCGTAATGTTGCAAGTAATGCAACACCTCAAAATAAAACACGAAGATGTAATAAGAGCAGAGAAGTCCAAGTTCTGACTTTTTCTTCTCATTGTTATTTGGTCCTTTAAAAAGGGTCATAGTTTTGAAGTGTCGGCCTCTTCTTAATATTTCTCCTTGCACCAGGTTTTGCTGTGCCCTCAGGGGGAGCTTGGCTTGCCAGATCTCAGCTGCCCCAGCAGGGATGAGCAGGGCTGAGGAAGGAAGGAGGTGGAGGACCCTGAGATGGAAACCCACAAAGGAGGCTGCTCCGGCTGGTCCCTGGGCTCAGGAGTACAAGGGGGGAGGGCCGGTACCAACAGATGGTCCTCGCTGAAGCTCCTCCCACCTCTGAAGGCCAGTTGAGGGGCTTTGTGGCTCAGTCACTCAGTCCTGTCTGACTCTTTACCACCCCATGGACTGCAGCACACCAGGTTCCCCTGTCCTTCACTCTCTCCCAAAGTTTGCTCAAGCTCATGTCCATTGAGTTGGTGATGCCATCCAACCTTTTCATCCTGTCTTCCCCTTCTCCTCCTGCCATCTTTCTCAGCATCAGGATCTTTTCCAATAAGCCAGCTCTTCGCATCAGGTGGCCAAAGTATTGGAGCTTCAGCTTCAGCA